GTGGTTCACCTTACTTTACACCCTACACAAAAATTATGTATCAGAGGCTTAAATGCAAGACCTGAAACTGTAACACTTAAAGATATTAACATAGGAAAAAAAATCTTCACAATGATTGGGTTAGTCAAGATTTCTTAGATACAACACCAAAAGCAAAATCAATAGGAGAAGAAAGTGATAAGCATCAAAACTCAAAACTTTCATGCTTTTAAAAGACACCATTAAGAAAATGAATGAGGTTGGGCACAGTGGCTCATGCCTGTAATTCCAGCACTTTGGGAGGCCAAGTCAGGCAGATCACCCAAGGTCAGGAGTTTGAGAGCAGCCTGGTCAACAGAGTGAAACCAAGTCTCTACTAAAAATACAAAAAATTAGCTGGAGTTGGTGGCGCACGCCTATAATCCTAGCTACTCGGGAGTCTGGGACAGGAGGATCACTTGAACCCAGGAAGCAGAGGTTGCAGTGAGCTAAAAGTATGCCACTGTGCTTCAGCCTGAGCAACAGAGCAAGACTCCGTCTCAAAAAAAAAAAAAAAGTTAAAATGAGAGAAGGCTAGGCGCAGTGGCTGTAATCCTAACACTTTGGGAGGCTGAGGCAGGCGGACCACCTGAGCCCAGGAATTTGAGACCATCCTGGAAATGTTTTAAAACGCCGTCTCTACAAAAACACAAAAATTAGCCAAACATGGTGGCACACACCTGTAGTCCCAGTGACTTGCAAAGCAGGGGTGGGAGGATCACTTGAGCCCAGGAGGTGGAGGTTACAGTGAGCCCTGATCATGCCACTACACACCAGCCTAGGTGACAGAGTAAGACTCTGTCTCAAAAACAACAACAACAACAACAAAAAAAAAAACTACAGTGGCTCACAACTGTCATCCCAGCACTTTGGGAGGCTGAGGTGGCCAGACCACCTGAGGTCAGGAGTTGGAGACCAGTCTGCCCAACATGATGAAACCCCGTCCACTAAAAATACAAAAATTAGCTCAGTGTGGTGGTGGACACCTGTAATCCCAGCTACTCGGAAGGCTGAGGCAGCAGAAGGATAATCGCTTGAACCAGGAGGCGAAGGTTGCAGTGAGCCAAGATCACACCTCTGCACTCCAGCCTGGGTGACAGAGCAAGACTCCATCTCAAAAAAAATATATATATATAACAAAACAAACAATCCAATAGGCAGTCCAAGTGGACAAAGGATTTGAATAGATATTTCACCAAAGAAGAGCTATGAAAGCCTAATAAATAAGCACATGAAAGGATGCTCAAAACTACAGTGAGATACCACTTCATAGCCACTAGGCTGGTTACACACAGAAAGACAACAACTAGAGAGAAATTAGAACTCTTCTAATTACTAGCAGGAACATTAAATGGTACAGTTACTTTGAAAAACAGTTCGGCAGTTTCTTAAACAGTTAAATTTGTGATACAAACCAGCAATTCCACTCCTGGGTATACATTCAAGGAAAATGAAACATATTCCCATGAAGACTTGATGTGAATACTCACAGCAGCCTTATTTCAAACAGCCAAAAAGCAGAAACAATCCAACGTCCATCAACCGGTGTCCAATAAAAAGGAACCTTGTATTGCTACATGCTAGATGGATGAACCTCAAAAAGCATTATGTGAAGTAAAAGCAGCAGAACACAAAGAACTATATATCATATGATTACATTTACATGAATGTCCAGAAAGGGCAAATCTATACAGACAGAAAGTATATGTGATTGCCTGGGGCTGGGGGTGGGAACAGGGAGTAACTGCAAATGGACATGAGGCATCTTTCAGGAATGATGGAAATGTTCTAAAATTGGATTGTGGTGATGACTGAACAATTATGTAAATTTGCTGAGATTATTGGGTTGTACACTTTAACCAGGTAAATTTTATGTTATGTAAATTATACCTCAAATTGTTTTTTAAAAATTAAAAGATATTTATGCTAAGTGAAAGAAACCAAATATGAAACACCACATTATATGATCTCATTTATATGCAATGTCCAAAAAATGCAAGTCTATAGAGACAAAAAGTAGATCTGTAGCTGCCTAAGGCTGGGGGTGTAAAAAGGGATTAACTGTAAGAAAGCGCAAGAGATCTCATGGGGATGATGGAAATACTCTAAAACTGGATTATAGTGATAATTGTACAACACAGGGAATTTACTGAAAATCACTAAATGTTACACTTAAAATGGGTGCATTTCATATGAAATTATATCTCAGTAAAGTTGTTTTAAATCTATGAAAGATGGTCACATCACACTGGCATTCCTAACCTTTTAAAAACTATGGACCCCTTTGTGAGTGTGAGGAACACTAACCCTATCCAGAAGACTGAGAAACTCTCTTTTGCCCACTCAGATATCCTATGGTTCCGAGGACACCAAATTAATAAATCACAAAATCTCTAGCACCTTTGCAACTCTGAAATTCTTTGCCACCATAACAGCAAAGGCTTCGAGAATGACTACAACCATCCTCTTCACCCTAGAAAGATGGACACATTACCAGAAAATACTCGTCTTCTAAAATGATAGGGAACCTCGTCTTTACTTCTCTGACATCATTTTGGAATCTTCCATTTAATCCTTTCCTTCAATATGAAACTCTCACTAGGGGAACCAGAAGCAATCAATCAAGACCAGGAACTAGCTAACTGTCTTTAGAACCAAGCAGTACATGTCAAAGACACACTGTGTAGCAAGGCACAGGCCCATGAAGTGGCTTCTGCAAAGATGTGATGTCTTTCAGATTAAACTTAGTCCAGGTGTTTTTGTTTTGTTTTGTTTTTGTTTCTCCTACACAAACCAATATTACTTTAACCACAGATGGTTTTAAAACAAGAGGCAAATAAAGTAAAAAAAAACAAATTGTTTGGCAGGGCGTGGTGACTCGTGCCTGTAATCCAAGCACTTTGGAGGCCAAGGCGGGCAGATCACCTGAGGTCGGGAGTTCAAGACCAGCCTGACCAACATGGTGAAACCCCCATCTTTAAAAAATAAATTCAAAAAGGGCCGGGCGCGGTGGCTCAAGCCTGTAATCCCAGCACTTTGGGAGGCCGAGGCGGGTGGATCACGAGGTCGAGAGATCGAGACCATCCTGGTCAACATGGTGAAACCCCGTCTCTACTAAAAATACAAAAAACTAGCTGGGCGTGGTGGCGCCTGCCTGTAATCCCAGCTACTTAGGAGGCTGAGGCAGGAGAATTGCCTGAGCCCAGGAGGTGGAGGTTGCAGTGAGCCGAGATCGCGCCATTGCACTCCAGCCTGGGTAACAAGAGCGAAACTCCGTCTCAAAATAAATAAATAAATAAATAAATAAATAATTAAAAAAAAAAAAATTTTTTTAAATTGTTTGACAAAGTTTTTTTTTTTTTAAACACAGTGAAATAAACACTGACACCCCCCAAGGCAGCTAAGGAGTCTTCAGTCGGTCTTTTATTATAAAACTAATTTTGGTGCAGGATGCTGACAAAGCAGACAATTCTCCTTCCTCCAATACACAGGGGTCTGCTCATGTCAGTTGGACTGAGCCTGTATGGCTAAACCCATCCCTTTTTGATTTCCAAGGTCACTGCGTTATCGTTGTCCAACAAATACTCCCCTCATCCCTAGTCCGCAGCTCCTCCCAATCCGTAGACTTCTGTGAGAATTACAATCTATGTTTGTGCCAGTTTTGGTGTCTGCCAACTGGTATTCCTGGACCCCCTTGAAATCTTTTCACACACCAGCCCAATTTATCAGACCACGTCAAGGCACTGTTTGAGGGTCTCCAGCAGTAAAATAAAATTCCAAAGTCTGTACCAAGGCTGAGAAGATCCCTAAGCTCTGGCTCCTCCCTTCCCTTTTCTATCCCTGCCAGCCTTCTTTCAGGTCCTAAAACACATCAAGCTATTCCCCTACTCAAGGCCACTGCATCTCCTCATTCCTCAGTAAGGAAAAATCTTCCCGAGGTTCTTAATCCTCACTTCTTTTCATCCTTCAGGGTTCAACTGCAATGGCATCGCTTCAGAAAAAGAATTTTCCTTTAAATAACCCTAACTAGATCTCCATGTTACTCTCTATCAGAACATCTTGTTTATCTCTTTCATAGCACTTGCCAAAGCCTCTTCTTTTTAACTATTTTTTTTTCTTCTTCTTCTTTTTTTGAGACGGAGTCTTGCTCTGTCGCCCAGGCTGGAGTGCAGAGGTGCGATCTCGGCTCACTGCAACCTCTGCCTCCCGGGTTCAAGCGATTCTTCTGCCTCAGCCTCCCAAGTGGCTGGGATTACAGGCGCGGGCCACCACACCTGGCTAATTTTTGTATTTTTAGTAGAGACGGGGTTTCATCATACTGGCCAGGCTGGTCTCGAAATCCTGACCTCGTGATCCGCCTGCCTCGGCCTCCCAAAGTGCTGGGATTACAGGCGTGAACCACCGCGCCCGGTCCTTTTTAATTCTTTGTGTCTACTTATTTAATATCTACCTCCTGGACTGGAAAGTCAGTTGGAAAGAGTCGGAAGTTGGGTCTACGTTGCTCAGAGCGGTTCCTGCAGCTTCACCCGGAGGATCCCCAGCTCGCTCCAGCAGGGATGGAGGAATAAACTAAAGCTCCTTTTCTATCCCACAATCCCATACATCGATGGCCGTGGCCGCAACTTCAAGATCCCGTTTCTCCCAGAGCCTCGGAAAGGCCTGTCCCACACCTGCACTTTCTTTCTCTACAAGACACATGGGTCGCTCCTGTCCACACATCTGAGAATACGGTACACAAATCTCTCCCGAGCCCCCTCAAACCCCACCCCGCCCCACCCGGCCTCTCAGGCGCGCGCCTCAAAACCCCCTTCCCGTGTCACACGCGCTCCTCGACACACGCGTCCTGCAAGCCCCTTGCACCGCAAGCGCCCCACGAATTCCTGCGAGGGCTGCGCTCCCCGAACTCCCGCGGCTCCCCACGTTCCCGCGCGTCCCCCAGCGCCCAGCGCCGCGCCTCCCCCCTCCGCGGCGCCTGCTCTCACCGATCACCTCCTGCAGCTCGTAATCGTCCCTGTTGATGGACCAGGGCAGGGCGCTCGAGTCCTCGGACATGACGGCGGCAGCGGCTCGCGGTCCTCCCTCAAACTCGCTGACCTCGCTCGTCTCCTCGCCGCGCGTCTCCCCACCCCCACCAGCCGCCGCCGCGCCCCCACCAATCGTCTCTCAACAGCCACGGGTCGGACGCCGCCGGGGCGCGGGGTCACCGTGCGGCAGTGCGGCGGGGGCTCGGAGCTCCAGCGGACGTCGCCTCCTGCTTCTCTGTGTCCGGCACTGCCCGGCCCAACCCACGTCCTAGCCTTGGCCTCCGCAGCACCGGCGACAGAAGCTTCGCCTGGGCCCAGCCCCTCTGTCCCGCCCTCACCCCAGCCCCACGCACGGCCCAAACTTTCCCTTCTCCCTCCACCTGCTGACACGCAGCGCGCTGACGTCACCGCGCCGGTCACGCCCCACCTCGGCCCCGCCTCCGGCCGCCATCTCCAGTGTGTCTGGCTACAAAGTAAGCGAGCTAGAAACCCGAGAAGGTGGGATTTGGCGGTGGAAAGGAAGAAATGCTTAGGAAGGGGCTCATCAAAGGCATCGAAAGGCCATAAGAGAGGCTAAAGTAGCACAGAGGCAGTAGCCACACTAAGCATGGCGACGAAGGGGCCGCCAACTAGAAGGGGCAGAGCCTCTTCTAGCTTCTGGGGCACGTTGCTGTCTCCGTCGTCGCATTCATTGGTTGGTTTGAGAAGGAATCAGAAAAGCAATGGGTGTGGGTGGATGTCAGTCATAAATTGGTCCCGCCTCCAGGCTCTCCGAGCGCTTGTCTGTGTTAGGGTTGCAACCCTTGAAGAGCCCCATTACCCTGCTCGCCTTACCCCTTCCTCTGTTCCTCTGGAGTGACGTCACGGCGTAACCGTCACACCCTCGAGACGTGCTAAGGGCTCCACAGGGTGTGGAGAAGCCCTGAGGGAGCGGCTGGGTGGGGTAGCCCTCGGGTGTGGCCCACTGCCAACTGGGATAAAAGGCTTTGGGCCACCGGACGGAATGAAACTAGGAGTTTGCCTGGTGACGTTCTCTCGATGCGGACGTTCTCCTAACGCTTGTCGCGGTGCTGTCTCCCCAGTTCCCTCCTGCACTGAGCGGCGACGGGGTTGTGTCTGTTCGCAGCTTTAGCTCAAATAAGCACCTGCCTTGGGGACTTTGTTTTCTGCCCCCTGAGAGGGCTTGGGCATCCAGGTGAGACCGACCCACGAGTTTGGGGGTAGTCTCGCGGGCCTTGACTTCTGTCACCCCGCCCCACCACCGCTGAACTTTGTCCGTGTGACTACGTTAGGGCCGTTGGAGAAATGAGCGAGCTGAAGACGGAACACACTTGGTAAATTGGATTTTAAAAAATAAACAGCAACAGGGACAGGGCTAGGTGCGAAAGTGTCTTAGGTTGGACGCCTTTCAGTCCAATGGCAGTTATAGGATAAGAGACCTTGGGCCGGATACGTTGGCTCACACTTGTAATCCCAGCACTTTGGGAGGCTGAGGCGGGTGAATCACCCTAGGTCAGGAGTTCAAGACTAGCCAGGCCAACATGGTGAGACCCCGTCTCTACTAAAGTACAAAAAATTAGCTGGGCATGGTGGCGGGCGCCTGTAATCCCAGCTACTTGGGAGGCTGAGGCTGGAGAATTGCTTGAACCCGAGAGGTGGGGGTTTCAGTAAGGAAGAGACCTTCGCCCAGGCCTGGCTGACACGAAGTGGGGACCCCTTTTAGGGCCTGTAGGCCCCCAACCATAGAAATAAATCAAAATCTTGAGTTTCTTCAAGAGAAACTCCAGGCACTTAGCCTTGAAAACTTAATAAGCAGCTTGATAAGCAAGAAGGTGGTAGTAATTTAAAACAATAGCCAAAGACGCTAAAATAACTGGATGTTTGGTTCTCTATAAAAACTAAAGATAACGTCAACACATATCCCTGAGTTTTTTAGAAACCCAGACCCCCACCAAATAGATCTGCTGGCACATAGACCTCAGAGAAGTGGGAGCTGAGGACTGAACTGTGACTGCTGGTTTTGTTGTTTTGTCATTGTTGTTTCTCTAAGTTTCTTCCTCCCGAAGAAGGTCATGCCCACAAGCCATGGCTAAAATTCTTTTCTGCCGATCCGAAATTTTTAGAAGAAAGCTGCACATCCTGAACCAGTCGCAAGTCAGAAAATCTTTGAATCCACCTATGACCTTTGAGCTCCTGCTTGGAAATGTCCTGCCTTTTTAGATCAAACCAATGTATAACCTCTGTGTATTGATTTATGACTTGACTTGTAACTTCTGCTTTTCTGAAAATATCCCTATCTTTAGAAATCCTTTCCTGCAGCCGGGCGCGGTGGCTCACGCCTGTAATCCTAACACTTTAGGAGGCTGAGGCGGGTGGATTGCCTGAGCTCCGGAGTTCAAGACCCCATCTCTACTAAAAAATACAAAAAAATTTGCTGAGCTTGTCAGCGTGTGCCTGTAATCCCAGCTATTCAGAAAGTGAGGCAGGAGAATGGCTTGAACCCAGGAGGCAGAAGTTGCAATGAGCCGAGATCGCACCATTGCACTCCAGCCTGGGCAGTTGAGCAAGACCCCGTCCCCAAAGGAAAAAGAAAATCCTTTCCTGCAAGCCATGGAAGTTCAGGTCTTAAGCATGAGCTAACCCAATTCTCTGCTTTCTTGGTACCCTGCCTTTCTACTGCAGCAAAACCTCTGTGTGGCTCTCTGGTGTTACTGCCCTGGGCAAGTAGACCTTAGTTTGGTTCTGAAACACCACCAAGCACTGGAAAGCCTTTGCCGAGCTCTGTTGCAGGAGGTCCACTGACCATGAAATCAGTCAACTAGAAGCTACTAGCAGGTTTCCACTTGGTTGGTAGGATTGGAGAACATTTCATGAAGAAGGTAGCATTTGTACCAGACCTTGCAAAGTTAACATGATTTCAACAGGTGGACATTGAGAGGATAGAATAGTCCAGGCACAGCAAAGGTGGGTGCCACCATTCCAGAAAGCATAGCACAGGCCTTGCTGTAAGTGGTTTCAGCCATTACTACTGACACTTTCTTGTAACTATGTTCTGCCTTTTTCTTTTTGCAGGGAGGAGAGGGATGGGATCAATGTATCCAAAAGGAGCTACATCTGATGGTAAGAATTAGCCTCAAGGTTTGTACAAATAAAAAGGTCTATAAACCAGAAATTCTTAACTTGGGGGTGTTGAGCTGTGTGACCCATGGACAGACTTCAGATTGTTTGTTTGTTTGCTCCCAGTCACAGTGGCTTACACCTGTAATCCCAGCATTTTGGGAGACCCAGGTGGGTAGATTACCTGAGGTCAGAAGTTTGAGACTAGCCTGGCCAACGTGGTGAAATCCCATCTCTACTAAAAATACAAAACTTAGCCAGGCACGGTGGCAGGTGCCCGTAATCCCAGAAACTCAGGAGGCTGAGGTAGGAGAATCTCTTAAACCCAGGAGGTAGAGGTTGTAGTGAGCCAAGATTGTGCCACTGCACTCCAACCTTGGTGACAGAGAGTGAAACTCCATCTCAAAAAAGAAAAAAAGAAATTATATAGCCGGGCGCGGTGGCTCAAGCCTGTAATCCCAGCACTTTGGGAGGCCGAGGCGGGTGGATCACGAGGTCAAGAGATCGAGACCATCCTGGTCAACATGGTGAAACCCCGTCTCTACTAAAAATACAAAAAATTAGCTGGGCATGGTGGCGTGTGCCTGTAATCCCAGCTACTCAGGAGGCTGAGGCAGGAGAATTGCCTGAACCCAGGAGGCAGAGGTTGCGGTGAGCCGAGATCGCGCCATTGCACTCCAGCCTGGGTAACGAGAGCGAAACTCTGTCTCAAAAAAAAAAAAAAAAAAAAAAAAAAAGATGTTACTTGGCCCATGTTCTTGGTAGGCAGGGTCACAGGGGATTCTCTTCTGCTTCCTCCACACATGTAGCTTGGTGGATTTGTTGAGCCAGAACCTGCTCTGCACAGCTCCTCATTTCATTTCTCCTGTCTCCTTGATTTTTTCCATGTAGCATGATAGAGGTTAGGATCCTGTGATTTGAATGAGCAAGGAATTGGTGGCTCTTTGAGGCCAGAAATCCAAACCTCAACCCCATTCTCAGCCTATAGAGCAGGCATCCCCAAACTTTTTACACAGTGGGCCAGTTCACTGTCCCTCAGACTGTTGGAGGGCCACCACATACTGTGCTCCTCTCACTGACCACCAATGAAAGAGGTGCCCCTTCCTGAAGTGCGGCAGGGGGCTGGATAAATGGCCTCAGGGGGTCGGGGACGCCTACTATAGAGTATCTTCCATGTGAGAGTATTGTCATAAACACCGAGTACAGCTAGTGCTCGACTTACGACCACGGTTCTGACAGACCAGTCGTAACACGATTTGGTCGTAAGGTGAGTAGGCTATATGTACAGTACTGTGAAATGATGTTATAAAAATGTTTTTTTTTTTTTTTTTTTTTTTGAGATGGAGTTTCGCTCTTGTTACCCAGGCTGGAGTGCAATGGCGCGATCTCGGCTCACCGCAACCTCCGCCTCCTGGGTTCAGGCAATTCTCCTGCCTCAGCCTCCGGAGTAGCTGGGATTACAGGCACGTGCCACCATGCCCAGCTAATTTTTTTGTATTTTTAGTAGAGACAGGGTTTCGCCATGTTGACCAGGATGGTCTCGATCTCTTGATCTCGTGATCCACCCGCCTCGGCCTCCCAAGGTGCTGGGATTACAGGCTTGAGCCACCGCGCCCGGCTATAAAAATCTTTAAGTCATATTTTATCATAATTTTCTTTCATTATTGTTACATATCATAATTTTCTTTGTTCTTTTATGCCATTTGTATCATCTCTACACCATTTTGTTTCTTATTTTTACATTCATCAGGTTTAAGTAAAACACTGCATTACTAGTACAACTGGTTTAATATTTGCAAAACATACAAAATTACAAAATACAGGTGCATATAAAAATGCAAAATATAGGTGTAAAAAATACCATAGGGAACATTTTCCCAATTGCAAAACATATCAAAATGTATAAATATGTATGAAACATTTTATTGGCCGCTGGTGGTTGGCTATGGATCGTTGATGTCGTCATCTGAGGCAGCAGTTGGGGTTACCGGAGTTGGTTTTTTCATAAACATGGTGAGCTTTGTCTGAATTATATGTTTCTTTTTTTCTTCATAAATTTCACAATATGGACGAAACACGTCGTGCGCCATCTGTTCAATCCTTGCAAATCGTTCGATGTTTGGGTCCATTGCTTCAAAATGTATAAGAAGTTTATTCAGTAAAGATAAACCGTCTGATAATCCCTTAGTGGTGAACTTTCTTTCTGGCTCCTCCTCTTCTTTCTCTGCTTCTCTTCTTTCTTCTTCCACCACTCT